TGGTTTACTCTTGGTTTTGTACTGACAGATACTTTCCTCTTGTGCTGTAGTAGGTTCATAAGCTTTAAAGTGGAAAGATAGGATAAAAATAAAATAAAATTTAATTTTTAGATTTAAATTCACTTAGATTCATTTACAGATTTAAAGGATGGGTGGACAGACAGACAGTAAAATGGCAAGCAGCGATGTCTGTGCAGTCTCTAGCTTCATTGATGTCATTAAGCCCAGACTGTGATCTGGCAATTCTAGTCCTTGTTCCTGTAATGAAGGCCACATCCCGAGAACCACCTTCTGGGTCCTTTTTTATGTTTTTGTTTTGGCAGCTGCGGGGTGGGGTGGGGAGGGTTCCCTAGCAAATAAAGGTCAAATTCACCACCTCTGCTCCAGTGGGCAGGAAGAGATTAAGTTGTTGCAACTATTCGGATTACACTTTGGCTGATGACACTTCAGCTGATCTTTGGGTTGGGCTGCTCAAATGAATCGATCGATTCCACGCATATATTCAGTTTTTCTGGAGAAATAAGACATAAAGAAGAACCATGTCCATGCCTTGCTCCATTTCCCCAAATCTGACTTAATTTTGCACCAGTGGAGACTCACCAAAATTAATGGATGTGTTTTCTTCTGTGTGTGTGTGTGTCTCCTTTACATGATTTACATGCGTGTGCGCGCACACATACAAACTCTATAACCAGTTGGATGCAAAACAGGAATAATGTTTCGCCAGATTTCTTCCTACAGAACAGCCCGTGGAGCCCTATGGCAGGGCTTCTGGCGTGAACTTCGGAGAAGCTGGAATGCTCATAAACATTCTGTAACACCCCAGCAGCTAAGCCAATGGCTGAGGAGTGCCTGTTCCAGTCACCTGCAACTGGAGCTTTCACAGTCAACAGCTACAGAGTTTTCCAAGATTACAGAATGCATTCTCCACTTCCCCCTTGGTTTCTTGCGTGAATCTCAGGCATAAACCAGCAACATGTCTTGCGTATCTATATAATATGTACTTTAACTGCTTTCTCCATTAGTTCCTTTCTGTCATCATACCTCTCCATGGTCAGGGGCCATGCACCTTTGGTTGTTACCTGCCACCACGTTGTCTCCAACTTATGGCAAATGAAAACCCCCCAGATAGTCCTGTCTATGACAACTCCGCTCAGCTCATCTAATTCCAAGGCTGTGGCTTCCTTGATGGAGTCCATCCATCTCACATTTGGTCTTCATTTTCTAGTTCTGCTTTGCAATTACCCCAGCATGATGGTCTTCTCCAAGGAGCTTTGTTTTCTTATGATGTGCCCAAAGTACGAGACAGTCTCAGTCTAGGGAAAGCTCTGGCTCGATTTGATCCAGGACCCACTCCTTCCTCTTTCCATCAGTCCAGGGCGTGTGCAAAACTCTCCTCTAGCATTTAACCCTTTCAGCACCTGTTTTATTTTCCAATCGTCCTTTTCTGGTTGCATCTTCAGTCCACCCCATTGCAAGTTGGTTTGTGGGGAAGGGGGAAGAAGCTGGTGGGAAGGTTTGCAAAAGAAATAATATGGGAAGAAAGGATAAGTACTCCCTTTCAAATTCAAAAGTTTTATTGTTTTCTACTCACTAAAGAAATAATTATTCTAAAGACTTCAGACATACTGTCTTATTTCTCTCTACAAAATGCTATATATTCTAGCCCATATTAGAGTTCCGATTCTGTAGCCATTGATAGAAAAAGTCCCATGTTTGGTAGTAAACTGTATCTTCTTTTTCCTTAAGAGATAAAGTCAGTCTATCAATCTCTGCACAGTCCAGTATCTTATTCAAGATCAAATCTTCAGTCAGTAGCTCTTCATTTCTCCAACATTGCGCATATGCGATCCTTGACACTTTTATTACATGCAAAGTCAAATATATAGTTTGTTTATCAAGATCATCGGGGAGAATGCTTAACAAAAATATTTCTGGTTTAAACATTACAGATCTTTGCAATATTTCCCCAAGCCATCTATGTATTTTAACCCAGTATTTTTTTGCTTTATCACAGGTCCACCACAAACGATAAAAGGTACCAGGTTTCTGTTTACATTTCCAACACTTATTTGACATATTCGGAAACATTTTAGCTAATCTGTTGGGTGATAGATACCATCTGTAAAACATTTTATACAAGTTTTCCTTATAGGAAGTTGCCAAAGTTATCTTAACATTTCTTTCCCACAACTTTTGCAATTCAATGTTAGACCCAAAGTTTTGTGCCCATTGTTTCTTTAACTTGTTCATCTTCCATTTTCATTTCTAAAAGAAAATTATACAATCTTTTAATCATTTTTTCATCTGATTTTAAAATTAATTGATCAAAAGTATTTAGTTCCTTATAGAAACCATACATTTTAAAATCTTTAACATGTCTCGATTTTATCTGCGTTTGATGCCACCAAGAAAGATCAATGCCCTGGTCTTGAAGTTCTTGATTTGATTTCAATTAGGATAAGTACTCTCTTTCCTGCCCCTTCTGCCCTGAAAATCCTCTCTCCCAAAACCCCAGGGCAGATTTAAGCAGCAAAACAGTGGCTTCAGAATAGTGGATATTTTGTTGAAACAAGTTCCTTTTGGAAACCTCACCAAGGCCTCCTATTGGGTTTCACAGACAGTGACCTCATGGTTGCAGTCCCAGTGAAGGCTTAGCAAAATGCAAAGAGGAGCAAGATCTGCCTGCCTGCCTACCTTTTCAATTGAAGAAAATGTCTCTGATGGAAACTCCTTGCTAAGCTTCATCAGGATGCCAAAAAGAAAAAAAGTAGTCCACTATTGCATCGTGGATACTTCAGTTGGTTCAGCTATTCAGAGCTGCCAGGATATTAATGGGGACCGCCAGGTATTCCCATATAACGCCGATCCTCTATAGCTTACACTGGCTACCAGTTGAAGTCCAGGCCCAATTTAAGGTGTTATGCTATGCTAGTTGCGAAGCCGTGCCCGACCCACCACGACCCCATAGACAACATTCCTCCAGGCTCTCCTATCCTCCACCATCGCCCAGAGTCCACCTAAGCTCACACCGACTGCTTCCGTGACTCCATCCAGCCACCTCATCCTCTGCTGTCCCCTTCTTTTGCCGTCAATTGTTCCCAGCATCAGCCTTAAATTTAAGGTGCTATAAAGCCCTAAACAGCTTGGGCCCTGGATATCTGAAGGAGCGCCTTCCCCCCTAGGTGCCCTCCCACCCGCTGAGATCTGACTCAGAGGCCCTCCTCTGGGAGCCATCCTTGAAAGAGAGCAGGAGGGTGGCTACCTGGAGGAGGGCATTCTCTGCAGTGCCACCTTGACTGTGGAATACGCTCCCCAGAGAGGTCCGCCTGGCACCAACACTTCTTTCAGCGCCAGGTGAAAACCTTTTTATTCTCCCAATATTTAAATTGTTAAATAGATTTACTTTGTGGTTTTACACCGAACATTGGATGCTGCGCTACTTTTATTCTTACTTTTGTTTTTATTCTATTTTATTAATGTTGTTGTAAACCATCCCAAGACGTCTGTGATGGGACAGTAAAGAAAAGGGTTTTTTTAAAATAACATAAATAAAATTGGATCAGTTCTTGGTTTTCTGGCAGTTACTGTTCAAAATCATAACTACTTCTTGGGGTGGGAGGAACTGATGAATTGAAGTTTGGTTTGAATTAAGACTGCAACTTTGTTGTATTAGTGGACAGCTTCAAATGCGGAAGCAACAACCACCATTAGGGTATCTGTAAATATAGATGGACCAAGTTAAACAAAAATTCTTGACAGTTCATCATCAGCAATGGCATCTATTGGGAAAGCACCCATTTTTCCAGTGTTGGCAGTTTGGTTCTCAAATACACACACATAACAATAATTGTATACCTGAAGAACACGCTCGTTTACTCTGCAGCAAGCTAGAAGAGAATGATCAGAAGGTTATTTTCATAATGCAATTGTTGACTAACCTTCTCCAAGGAAAACATACGTCGACCCTTGGAAATGCAGCCCTCAAGGGGTTGAAATTGGTTCTCAGATTCCCCGAAGGTGCCTTTGCTCGTTCCAGATGCCATGCTCTTCTGCTCAGAGCCCTCCTGTGTCTTCCCACTGCTTCCCAATCTTTTCTCTCACTGGAGAATATCGTTAAAAAAAAAAAGGTGGAATAGTTGCACAAAACCTTATCATAAAGCATGCCAGGAGCCTTCTGTCTGGAAGCAGCTGCAGACTTCTCTGAATCAATCAGCACAAGAAGAGCAAAGCTAGCACTGGTGGCCAGAAGAAAAACAACTAAAATCCATATCAGGCCAGCCTGAAGGTCACAAACTGGTGTGCAAGTTCTGGAGTTCACCAGAACTTTTCATCACGCTAGATGGTCAATGAAGTGGTGGGGCAGAGAAAATCGGGCAGGTGTTGAAGCATTTATTTAGATCCTTAAGACAGAAAATTATTTCCAAATCAGGTACGACAAGGTACTGGAGGCCACTGGTTGTGCCCAAGCTTATTTCTAGGGCTGTTGGAACAATGAAACAGCGTTATTTATACCCCATTTTTGTTCATGTCAAGGCTGTTTTCTTTGCATTTGTTTCTGTAGTTCTATCATGATATCTATTTGTAATACTAGATTTCACTTGTGTCTTATGTTCTGGATGTTTTGCGCTTCTCTGCGTACCACAAAGCCTGAATTTTCTGCCACATTCGAAAACTGGTTCTGTCAGGAGTGCAGCAAGTAATTCACTAATTCTAAGTTGAAATTATGTTGCTTTTGTACTCTTCGGTTATGCGTTTCTAAAGTCATGACTAGAATCAGAGTATTATTAGATCTTGACTCTGCCCAAGGGAAATGTTGTGACTGGGTTAATGCCCTCCAGATGTTGCTGGGCTGCAACTCCCATTAGCCACAGCCAGTCCAGCCAAAGGCAAGAGCTGATGGGTGCTGTAGTTCAAGAACAGCTCAAGGTACCCAGGTTCCCCACCCCTGCAATACTGAGATTACATATCCTATAACCCTGGAACGTCTTACATTTCAGGCTCAAGGAGGGAGCGGTGTGGGTATCGCATCATACGCCGTCACCGTAACTCAGAAGATTCGGTGCACTGTGTAGGCAAAGTGAAAAAGAACAGTGAGAACATCATGCAGGTGAAAGAGGTCCTTGTCAACATGCTGACCCCAGAACAGTTTGTTTCCATCTTACTTGAAGCTGAACCCCCAAACGTGTTGGTGAGTCGTCCCAACAAGCCTTTCACGGAAGCTTCCATGATGATGTCCTTGACAAAACTGGCAGACAAGGAACTGGTCCACATGATTGGCTGGGCCAAAAAGATTCCTGGTAAGGATCTGAAAAATTCAAGTTCCCCTAGTGAAACATGTGCTGGAGGTGGAATTCCTTTCTGGAGAAGCTTTTGGGGTCCATATTCCATGGGTGCAACCATCATGCTAGTGCGTTTTAGGTTAAAGCTCTTACTGCCTAAATATGCCCCAAGAGAAGCATTTCAACATCTGCAGTTGAGGCTTCATGCACATGATGAAACTACCGGGCAGTTAAGATTTCAGAGAAGAGGGGGGGCCCAGGAGGGGGCTTGGTCTTTGTGCTTTCTCAGTTCAGTAGGCAGCATGCCAGACTCATAATCTGAAGGCCCAGAGCGTAAGCCACAGAGAGGGCATGTCTGGTCTGTCCTGCATAGCTGTTCATTGAGCTGGCATGTCAAGTCATCTTTGCTAAGCAGAAATGGCATGGGCTGGAAGTGGGGCAGGGGCTGCACCTTATAGGCCTCTCCAGCTGTCCTTCTGTTCAGTTCTTCTGGTGGACACTGCAAGGCTGGATTTAGCCCTCAAACCAAAGTTCTGCACTCTGAATGCAGGCATAAGACATGAAACAGGAGATAGTGACACTAATTCCTTTGCTACTTGGTCATACGGCCTGCAGAGGCCACTGTTCCAAGACAGGATGGATCCTTTGCCTGTAGAACATTCCTGGTTCAGTCTTTGGCATCTCTAGCTGAAAGGATCCGGTGGCAAGTGATGGGAGAAGCCACTGCTGAGGCAGAATAGGGAGTAATGTTGGCTTTGATGGACTAATCGGTTGGCCAGATATCTGGAACTCCCAGTATCATTTGGGAGTTGTTCCACTGAGACCCACACAAGTGTGAATCCTGCTGAACAAAATGGAAAGCTAAAGCATCAAGTCCACAGCTGGAATTCTTTGGCATAAGCTGCCTGCAGAAATATTCTTATTCCTGCTACTAATTCAACAATAATTTGCTCTGGCTGTTGACTGCAGTCCTCCAGGCAGCGCTATAACTGTAGTTTAAAACCCATACACTACAATTAAGTTAAAACCAACACCAGTTACATAAGATTGATCACATCCATGCAGATGTATCAGGGCACTCAGTTCATAACCCTGCAGAAATTGCCACAACAATTTTTACATGGGTAATTTTTTAAAAAAGTGCTTTAGGAGGCAATCCTATGGGCCCAAACATGATCTGAGGGGGCCAAAGGAAACTGGGAAACTCCCCGCCCCCCACCCCAGCCCTCAAGATCAGCAACAGTCTGCCTGGAGAGATTCCTCTATTTCTGAGGAAGAGGCAGATGGGCAGAGCTGGGCAGGTGACATGGCTGTTTCCAAGTTACCTAGTGAAGGTGAGCATGGGTACCAGGAAGCCAGCATCATTCAGGTGTGAGGTTGGAGCTAATAGACATGCTCCCATGAGAAGAACAAACCCTTTGGGTGAGATCCCCAGTTGTCCTATAAATGGAAAGACTACTGTCTTCTTCCATCTGCAGAAGGCTTCTGATCTAGTGAGTTTTTTCTGCAGACAGAATGGGGGAACAATCCTCATTGATTCCTCCTACCCACCCAACCCCTGGTCTCTCCTCACATCTGCTCCAGAGTTGTAGGACCCTCTTAAACAGTGGGGAGGCTACAAATGAAAGGGAGAATTGGCAAATGTCATCTCCCTTCTGCTGGTGGAAACCTCATGAGCAGAACTCTGCTTGGACAAGACACCCATGGGTGTCAAAGAAACAGGTTCCAAGCCAGTGAATTTAGTGAGCTTTACTTCAGAGTAATCCTTTGTAAGCTCAGTCTACATAACTGATGCTCAGGAATAGACTGTCCTGGAAATGAAGACTTTCATTCCAAAGTAGGGTTGCTTTTCTCCTCCCCTTCCTCTGGGCAGTTTGACAGAGCGTCAGTGGCTTTCCATCTGGCATTCGATGTTGCAAGAAATGCAGAGAGAAGGTGGCATCCAGCAGGGGCAGAATTGGCCCCCAGTTACCAGTAGGGGACCTCCCCTTGCTGTAGAGAGAGCACCAATCTGTCTTGCACCCCAGTCAGTACTTAATTGCCAGTTGTGGTATAGTAGAAAGCCGGAATGGGAGACCCTTTGCAGTATGAGTTTGAAAAGGAGAAATAACAGCTTGCCAGCCCAGCAGGCCAGAATGTTCTTGTTCTCTTTACTGTGCCATCAACGTGAGAGACAGGGTTGGTCACTAGGGATGGATCCCTAAAGATCCCTAAAAAGAAATCCACATGAGTTTAAATGCATAGTTAAATCTGTGTTTGAACATAATTGCACACAAGTCATGTGTTTCTAGACAAAGTTTCTTTCAAAATACACATTTCCAAATGGTTTATTCTTAAAACTGCCTTTTGTATGCACGGGGTACATTTTCTTTTTGCACTGAAAAGAGTGCTGTCAAATTCTGAGAAGTGTGAAAGCGGAGGATCCTGTGTTCTGCTGAGATTAGATGAATTTCCTTTCACATGGAAATTGAACAAAATCCTCCAGCAATTCCTCCTGCTTAATCTTCTCCCTGACATTTCTCTGGGAAGAGAAGCAGCTCCCTTGCAGAGCTGCTTTGATTTTAAGACACACCTCAAGTGGACTTCATTGCACAAATTTGTGCGTCTGGTGTGTCATTTTCGCCTCGGTGCATCCGCTGAACAAACCTCTCTCCTTGTTTCCTTGTTCCTTGCCTTGCTCCGCCCTCTAACCTTTTTCATGTTGCTGCTCCTCTCCTGTAATGTTTTCTGTCGTTGCCTGGCTGGAACAGCAGCTTGGGACTGACTCATTCCCAATTCTCTCTGCGTTGTTCCTGCTTTTGGGAACAGCATGCAGGAGGCATGTGGGGAGATCATTCATAGAGAAATACATCCTCCCTGAATTTTCCTGATGGCCTTCCCGTTAATATAGGCACCCTTTGGACACTTTCTTTAGCAAGCTGATAAGGGACTGCAGGTGGCACAGTGGTTTAAACCGCTGTGCTGCTGGGCTGGTAGATCGAAAGGTCACCGGTTCGAACTTGCCAACGGGGTGAGTTCCCGTTGCTCTGCCCCAGCTCCTGCCAACCTTGCAGTTTGAAAGTATGCAAATGCAAGTAGAGAAAAAGGTGCCACTTCGGTGGGCAGGTAACAGCGTTCCGTGCATCTCGGTGTTTAGTCACGCTGGCCACATGACCACAGAGACTGTCTGTGGACAAACGCTGGCTCCCTCGGCTAGGAAACGGAGATGAGCACCGCCCTCTAGAGTCAGGCATGACTGGACTTAATGTCAAGGGGAAACCTTTACCTTTTTACTTTTTGAAAGCTGATGATGATCTGGGAGGGCCTGACTTCATGGCACAAATACTGGGGCCAGCCAGCAGAGCACGGCACCATGTCACTGGGATTTGGAAGATGCAATAGGACGGTCGACCCTTTTCTGGTATCTCTTTGTGCAGGTCTTCCTTCCCTGCCTTGGAAATTAATGCTTGCAAAATACAAGCTGTTCTCTGACATTGCTGCTTTCAGATTATCTCCAGTGTGTCCACAGTACGAGTGTGGTTGTTAATTAAAAACAGCAATAAAAGCAAAACCGCTTTCCCATAAAAACTGTTGTTCATGACTCAAATCAAGAGCAAAAATGACCAACTGATATGGCCCAATGGGAGGAGGAGCTGCAGTGTAGCGGCTTCCATTCTATGCAACTCCCTGTGTTTATTATTATTCATTACATTTCTATATCGCCAAGAGCTGAAGCTCTCTGGGTGGTTCAGAGATTTAAGTCACCCATTCAGGTTTCAACCAGGCCTAACTCTGCTCAGCTTCCAAGATTAGGCAGGATCAGGCACTACAGGCTAAATGGAAACTAATCAGATCAGAAAGAGATCAGAAAGGTACCAAAATTGTGTCTTTTTTGGCCCCTGCTGAAAACTCTTTATTTCAACAAGGCTTTTTTTTTTATAATATTCTGTTATATTTTCAAAAACGTTTAAATAGATTTTATTTTATAGGCTCTAGTATAGCACATTTTAATCTTTTAGAGCTAACCACTATGGAATGGTATATGAGTGTTCTGAATGCATGCATGAATACAAACACACATACATACATACATACATACTGGAGAGAAGGCACAAAATACTAGTGTTACCAAGAATGTAAATGCTGAGAGACTGGGAAAGTTCATGGTTTTGTGCTGTTACAGCCATGCAAAGATGTGCAAGAAATAAATTGCCTAAAATAACGTGCTTCTTTTAGGTTTCTACTTTTTGGTTCTGGAGAAAGCAAATTTTGTACTTGGATCTTCTGTGATGAAATGACTGCTCCCCCTTATTTTGTCTCTTAAAGGCTTCATAGAGCTCAGTCTGTATGATCAGGTCAGGCTCTTGGAAAGCTGCTGGCTGGAGGTGTTAATGGTGGGTCTGATGTGGAGATCCATTGATCACCCTGGCAAGCTCATCTTTGCACCAGATCTTGTGCTCGACAGGTGAGAAACCAGGTGTCTCTGGGGTAAGTGGAGTGTCACAGAAAGTTGGTACTCTGTTGTTTAAATTGTTGCAATGCCTACAACATTGTAAGTTTGGCCTTAATGTCAACCCAATCAAGAAAGCTTTATGGTTCCTTCCTACCTGAGTAGCTTCTCCTCAGCCTTCCTGGGTAGACAATCAGGGCTGACCTTCAGTTCAGCCCTGCCCATACCCAACTGCAGATTGGACCACCATGTTAATATCTCATGCTAAGCTCTAGAAAAGCTTGCCTGGTCCCATGTAAATGGTCCAGTAGGAATGAGTAGGGAGGCTGTCAGAAATCTATGGCATCTGTCTTCCCCGGGGTGGGGGGGCATAGAATCATAGCATAGTAGAACTGGAAGGGGCCAGAGGAACCAACCACCTGATCAGGGCAGGACTCCCCGTTAAACAATCCCTCTCAGATGGCCGTCCATTTGCAACTTGAATGCCTCCAGTGTGGGAGAGCCACAAGCTCCCTGGTCATGGGTTCCGTTGTCGTCCTGCTCCTGATATCCAGCTGGAACCTGGCTTCCTGTAACTGAAGCCTGTTATTCCGTGTCTTGCACTCTGGAATGACCGAGATGCGATCCTGGCCTTCCTGTTTGTGACAGCCTTTCAGGTACTTGCACTGCACCAGCGGCCATCTCTTCACAAAGCTACACATGCCCAGTTCTCTCAGTCTCTCCTCACAGGGCCTTGCTCCCAGTCCTTGCATTATCCTTGTTGTCTAAACCCCTTCCAGCTTGTCTGCCTCTTTCTTCAATGTGGTGCTGAGAACTGGACACAATACTCCAGACGAGGCCTGACCAGTGCTGAGAGAAAGGGAACTAGTGCTTCAAAGATCAAACCATCACTGATCCAGGTTCCATTATTCATGCAGCAAGGAAGAAATGCTGCCTGTCTATAGTAGAGATAAGGGCAAGTTCAGTTGTTAGAACAGCTTATAGCCCAGCTACTGACACAATCTTCCCCACCTGGTACCCTCCCGGTGCGTTGACTGCAACTCCTACCCCCTGTTGTGGGGTGGTCTTCTCTTCCTTCCAAGTAGATCAGGACAAAGGCTTTCTAACTGAAAGTTTTACTGTGTTAAAGCTGAGCAGCTAGGCCAGCTTTGTGATACAGGAGAGGAATATTGCGGAAGCTGATAACTAAAGAGACAAGCGAAATTAGAAGACTCATCACCGGGAAATGCAGCTTAATTATACAAAAAGGACTGGCTCCACCGTCAAGGGGGATCATGCAGTGATTGGCCAATCGCCTGGAACATGCGACTTGGTCAACTGGCCTGCCCTCTTAACCTGTTGTCGTATGTTGAGACTAATGAAGTTAAGTCCGCTGTGACCCATCTCCCCTCGCTCACTAGAATTTCCCACTGAGCATGAAGCTGTCAGATTCTCAGCAACTGCCAAGCTTATTTCTGGGTTCATTTTCCTTGGCATTTCTCCCACTTCTGAATCATACTCTGAGTCAGCAAGCTTTGATTTGAATCATAGCAGTGTGCCTGATCCCTACATCATTAGAGTGGCCGGTGGCTGGGGATGATGGGAACTGTAGTCTGATAGATCGCGGTTGCTTGAACTTTCTGGTTGGTAAATGGGGCATATCACATCTGCTTGGGTGAGTTTATAATGATGATTCGGGAACAAAAATGGGGCATGTACATGCACAGTCAAAATGGCTGAGTGCTCTCGGGGGACCTCCAGGAGATGTTAAGGCATCCCGCCCTCGCTCGCTCGCTCTCTTTTGTTTGCTTGTTAAGAATTCCCTGTACAGGCAGTAGTGAAGGTGTTGAGGCTCCTGCGTTTTCACATTGTTCTTCATCATACTGCAGGAATTGGCCCTCCAACAGGGCATCAGGTTACCTCTACAGGTGTCTAGCTCTGAAGTGCATAAACATTTTTGGCCGCAAGGGCTACATCTGGGTTCTCCTGTGGGGGGGGGGGGGGCACCCATGAGTGCATGTCTCCCCAAATATAATTTTCACCAATTTGAACATTTCCCCTTAAGCCTGCAAAGCAGACCTCCATTCTTAGCATGCTTACTCAGAAGTAAGCTCTCACAAACAGCTTCCACACATGCAAAGCACAGAGATCCAGACTGGAGTCACTAGAAGGAGGGAAGGTCTGTCTTCAGGATCAGCCATGAATGTAATGCGAGATAACTGTGGTTTAAAAGCTTTTTCACTTTTAAGATCCTGCTGTTTCAGTACCTTTAAAATGCAAAGGTGCGAGTGTTTAAAGTTCAGCTATGTTGCCCTTTAAATAACTTTCAATGTTAAAGGCATTTAATGAGCAGCGTATTTAAACTTTCAATGCCTCTTAAATTGCTCTGAGTGGTGAAAGGGGGTGCCAGATGGCGGTACCCTAGATTCAGGCCTGGGGGGATGACTCCTGCTGCCTGAAGCAAAAGAGCCATGCATCCTCCTTCCCTTCAGCCACGGGCCTCGGCCCACAGATCCACCACCTTCCTTTGCTGGCCTGCAAGGACTCTGCTAGGGCTTGACGTGGAAGAGATGGAGAGTGTTTTGTAGCAAGCAGATTTGGTGGTTCTGGACTCAGACGAGAGCTCAGCACTTAGCCAAGGCGATTTGCCAAAATCTCATGGGGGAACCCAGCAGAAACTGAGGACTAGCACCCACCTGAATAGCCCCACCAGCCAATTTCTCAGGGAAGCAAATGCCATGCCAGGAAAGATGGCGGCATGGCTCTCCGAAGCACCTGCTGGGCCATCGCAGGCTGCGCCAGAAGGGAAAGAGTGGCATCATCACAGCTTTTCAGCATTGGTGCCTGAGGCAGGCACCTCCTCACACTTCATTGGCAGGCTGGCCCTACTCAGATCGCCACAGCCAGGCAACAGAGCGCAACAGAGTAGGCTGCATTAAATCACGGGAGGGAATTGGAGGAGGGAGGGAAGTGTGGATCCGGGAGAGCAGGCCAGGACTCCGTTCTGCCTGGGGAAGAAGACTGAAACACCTAGAGGAGCAGAGGAAACTGAGGCAGAAGGCTGCCACCTCTGGCTCCGCGAGATGCTCCCTTTCCACACACCTGAGGTAGCATCCCTTGCATACTCTGGCGAAGGTCTCAGACTGATCTGATGGCATAGGATACATTCAAGCAATGCATTTTACCAGTTTGGGTGGGTGAAGCTGATGGCTGTTACGTCAACAACCAGCAAAAAATGGGCCTTGGGAAATTCCAGGGAAAACAAAAAGAGTGGATGGAAGTCAGGGGCCCGGAAAGTAGTTCCATTCACTAGCAGTGGCAACGGAAAGAGGCGGAGTTGTTATTGTTTGACTTGAGCAGGAGTTCTTTGGAAAGCTATGGAAAAATGGTTGAGCGTTACAGGAGGAAAGGAGTTTTGCAAAGTTGCATGGGAAGATGCAACAAGAATTTTCAAGGTTTCTTTGCAGGATATTTAGGATTTCAATCTGCTTATTAAAAATGCAAATTTTAAAAAAATCCCAAACTGTACATGCAGGTGAGAAATAATGACAGAACACAAAGCAAATTTTTTGCAGGAAATCGTGTTTTGCACTCCTAATAATCCTCGAACCATTTTCCAATTAGGGATGAGGGGAAATGCGTGGAAGGAATTTTGGAAATCTTTGACATGCTCTTGGCAACGACTTCAAGGCTTCGAGAGCTGAAATTGCAGCACAAAGAATATCTCTGTGTCAAGGCGATGATCCTTCTCAATTCCAGTGAGTAAATGCTTCAGTCATGTCAAGCTGTGCTTATTACTGAGACAAAAATTGGGCGGCAGTAGTAGAAATACCGAGGGATGCAAGAGCCATTAAGGCAAACGAAATAAAAACACCCAAAGAGCTTTCCTTCTTCCCTGAGTTGTAATGGTTTAATGACTGATACACAGAAATAATACATAGGCCATTGTGCAGTATTGTTCTGTATGTCATATGCTTACATTTTCTAAAGGTAAAACTTAAAAGGGGGGATGCTGTAGGACTCCAGTAGTACCTTCAAGTGCAGAAGACCAGCTCGCTTAGGGAACGTCCCATCCTGGGGTCCAGGAAGGCCATCTCCATTTGGAACTTCCTGAAGGAGTGCAGCCTCCCAGGAGCTCCAGTTTGACTACCTGCTTCCTAGTGGAGGCAGATTCTTGGTGCTATGGCCCAGCGAACGCAAGTTGAAGGACAGAAAAAAGAGAGAAGGAAGAAGAGACCTGGAGGAGGAGGAGGTGGTGACTGCTTCTACCTGTCATCCAGACAAATGGCTCATATTAGGGGATTTGGGGCCTGCCATATTGGGCATAGACAATCCAGTGTCAGCCCTCAATCTCTTATGCCCCAAAGTGTGATGGCCTTGGAGAACAAGGAACTTCCACTAGAGCAGCACAACTTACAGGCTGAATCCAAGCTCTGCAGGTGCTTTGCGGGCTCAGCCATATCCCTCTAAGCAGCAACCATGGCCACCACAGTTGCGCAAGGAGTTCACGTGAAGACAGATGGCTTACTTCAAGAGATATCCATGGGGAAAGAAGTGCAGGAGATCGCTTGGGAAATAGCCGTGGCTGCAGTCTTTTTGGCAGATTTGTGCCTGAGGTCCTTCTGGCTGGGAGCAAGATATCAAGGAATATCAAGGCGTAGGAACATTTGTCTATGAAATTGTGTTGTGGAGGGAATGAAGAAGCCCTCCCTGACAATCTTCCATGCACCTATTTGCTGAACTCCCTTGAAACCAACCATAAGAAAAAGGCTGTGCCAAATCACAGAGAAGAAGGGAAATGAAGTGCTTTCCAGGCAAGACCAAGCCTATTGCTCCTTCAGACTTTTCTGGGAAGCTATGTGCTTAGAGAAGACAAACCAAGATGGCAGCTGGGCTGCAAAGAGACCAGCCCCAGCAGGGAGAAAAGCCTGGTCCAGCATGACTACCCCTCTTCTGTAGTTGGGAGGATAGCTGTGTGACTCCTCAGAGGCTTGGCGGAGGTCCATCTCCCTGGATCCTGGAGACGGGATGAGAGGGCTACTCCAGGAGTTCTGGAAGACACCCAGGGACAGATTCTTCAGGAAGAGCCAGTGCGGTACTGCAGCCTGAGTGTTGGACTGGGACTTATGAGATCTGGGTTCCAGTCCCCACTCTGCCAAGAAGTTCGCTGGGTGACTTTGGGCCAGTCACAGACATTCAGCCCAACCTGTCTTATAGGGTTGTTGCTGCGAGGCTGAAAGGGTGATCTAGTAGCTTCCAACAAGTGTGGATTCACCCGGGGATCTTGGGGAAGGTTCTGCCTCATCCAGGAAGTACAAAATAGGGACTGCCTTCCCAACACGAGAGGTGGGGCCTTCCCCAAGCTAGCTGGCCTCCTTCATTTGAGGACAACTGAAAAGTGAGCAAAGACCTTCCATTTTTGTTTGAATCATCCTATTGTTTGCCAATGCATGCAGAAATGAAGTAGGTTGCCAACTTTTTTGCTTTCCCTGTTTCTTTGCTTTTAATGGACAAGATGGATAATATTTTTTGGATAGAACATCTTCTTGACAAGGAGACAGAATTTATAAGTGGCAATGAAGACAATTCTTTTTCATTTTGAAACCTCCAAGTTTAAACCAGTGTAATTTTTTTCCACCAAAGTTGGGGAGTACTCCCCACTGAAAACCCCCACATATTTCCATCTGAAAAGCGGGAAGCATGATTGATATCACAATATCTGCATCTCAGGTCACATCTGGAGATCCCCCCAAGCCATTGGCTAAGTTGCTGTGACGTCATGGAATGTTGATTAATGTTAGTGAACCATGTAGCACCTTTAGGAGGAGTGGAGTGTTAAGATTATCTGAGAGAGCACTATTTCACAACTCCTAGGAACAAGAACTGCAGAGTGTGAAAAAGGTGAGAAAGATAAAAGGAGCCATGGGGTAGATAAGGGCACCATTTCAGTGGCTAGCAGGGAGGCTAGCACCATCCATCATTTCACCCTAGCCCAGATTTAAGAGCACTAATGACTATTATTCCGAATAGCTATATTACACCCCACAGACTCATACACACTCTGGTTGGGTACAAACAACATGGCAAACCATGGTTGTTTTGACCATTGTTAATATGTTGTCTGAACCCAGTTGTGGTATTTTACCATGGTAAGTTTGGTCTTTAGAAACCATTATAAGGAACCATGTCTTGTTTTATGCTTTCCTGTATCACGATGGCTTGTATTGTCTGAACCTAGGATCCTGGTTTCCTTGGTCCTGGTAAGTGACTACCACAGAGTCCCCTGGGAAGAGTGGCCACCGCAGGAGCTACTCTAGCTATCTAATCTCAGTGCTGACCTATCCAGACCAATGAGGAAGAAGGAGGAAGCATAGGCAAGCAGCAATGCACCTTGGGAAATAATTTCAGTCATGGTGTCTGATGGGACACATGCCAACAGTGGGGGAACTGAGTGAGAAGAATGGAAACCATGTGAGCCTAGAAACCACTTGATTGTCTGTCAGGCAGATCACAGTACAAACCTGCAAACCATGGTGATCACACAGGGTTGCCTGCATTGTTGCATGAACCCACTCAGTCTCCCAAACTTTGATTTAAACAAACCTTTCCACTGAGCTCTTTCAGAGTTAGTAGCCTCTCTCTCCTCAAGCCAGAAGCTGTGTGTGTTGCCCTCAGCCATTTCCTGGATCTTCCAGGAGGTGCAGCCCATCGGGGCTGAATCAAATACTTCTTCCTGTGGTTATAGGTGTCTTTCCAGCCAGCCCTGTCATTCAACCTACTGATTCTCTATTGCTGTAAACATTTAGTGGGTGTTCCCTGCGAGTATGTATGTGGAAGGAACACACCTCTGACCAGGGCAGTGGGGAGGAATATCCATGCAGGAGTGATATTGTTGGCAGACTGTTGCCGGGGGGTGGGGGGGTGTCACAGCAGAAGAACCATCTCGGTTAATGGGCGCTACAGAAATCAAATAAGCAAGAACAAGGTGGCTTGAAAGGGTGATCACGTATGTATCATCAAGAACGGGAGGTCCAAGAAGAGACAAAAATTGCTACCCCAATCTGAATAGAAATGCAGCACAGTTCACCCAAACAGGGAAGAAAGCCGGCAAGGTGAGCTCATGCTTCTTCTTGGTTGGCTGTCCAGGTATGCTCAGCGGTTGAGCAGCTTCAAGGGTTTGTTGACTTTCAACCAGACTTGTGCAGAGCAGGTTGTAAGCCTGTTTTCAGATGACCTTTAGGTAATCCTATCACCAAAATTCGCACTCAGCTGGCCTGCAGCATGAATCTCTCCAGCCTTTAGTTCAATGGAGTGTAATTCCATTTAGAAGGTCATATCTGACTGAGGAGATTTTGTCTGCCCCTGATTTCAGCGCTCCTCAAAAGCTATTATTTGCCTCCGGCCGCAGTTGTTTTGACAAAGGCTAATATTGATCCTCAGATGTCAATAACTACCTTTCCCTGCACTGTGGTTCCCGTGGAAGATGCATGGAAGTCGATAATTCAGTTTTGACCCAGCCGACCTATGCCTGGTTTGTGAGCAGAATAGAGAAAGACGTCGTGGGAGCACCAGAACCATCCCTGGGTTGGACAATGAGTGACTGCTTCAGTGCAGAAAGTGGCTAGAGAACAAAAGTCACCTGTACAGAAACAGCAGCCCACACGTGGAAGCTTTCCGTGGTTTCCAGGAGTGGAAGCAGTGCCCAGTGCACGTTTTGGAGAAGGCAGGCTGGTAAAAGAACTTGTGCGGATGTTGGTGCTGCCTATTATCTTGCTTCCCCCCTTCTGGGACTCAATTCACACTCCCAGGTGGAGAGTGTGAGGTGAACAGAAGAGCTTCCTCGTCCATCCTGTCCCTGCTAAGCCATCTCAAAATATTTTGCTACTCCAGATCAGGCACAGTTGGGGCTCCCTTGCCAATGTATTCACTGAAACACAATCCTATCCATAATCCTATTGTTAGTGACCTGGGAGTGGGCGCTATGGAACTCAAAGTGGCTTAATTCTAAGGAGACCTGTGTAGAATTGTACTGATTAATTATACCAGTTAATTCTCAGTGGATATCTGGAATTCAGCTCCTGTCCTGCCCAGGCCTGTTTGCAAAGCCTTCGTGAATTTTGCATCTACCTCTGGGCAGGACTTCTGTAGCAGCCACGCTCCATTGAGCCAGATCTCTACACACTGCATGGTATATGCAGGACCGGGAACCCTTAATCCTGGATGACAGTGCAATAGAAAAGGCACTTTCAGATTGTGAGGAGGCAGGAGGAGAGGGAGGGACACTGCCGGAAGAAACGTCTTTGCTGCCTAAAGGGTGGAGTAGGGAGGGAGAACTATAGAAACATAGAAACGGAACGAGTCAGAAGGGGCCTCCCAGGCCATCTGGTCTGACCCCTGGCTCTAGCCAGCTCCACTCATGACATGCCCACCATGTGCATGTCCAGCCTATTCTTATACACCCTCACTGTTGGGGCTTCAACCGCCTCCTGTGGAAGCCCATTCCACACCCTCGGGGGCCTAACTGTCAGGAAGTTCTTCCTGGCATCCAAACTGAACCTTGGTTCCCTGAGCTTGGCTCCATTGAAACGTGTCCTGCCTTCCTCTGCAGGGGAAAACAGGTCTCAACCCACCTCCGTGTGACACCCCCTCACGTACCTATATGTCCCCCACAAGTTCCCTCTGCTCTTCTCAAGGCTGAAAAGACCCAGCTCTCCTCATATGGCTTCCCCTGCAAACCAGCCACCATCCTAGTGGCCCT